GCGCCTCCGCACAGTGTCATCCGCCTCTGCACAGTGTCGTCGGCCGCCTTCCACTTTCTTAGCAGCCTCTTTCGCACCGTCTCTATATCTTTCATACCAATGGATTCCTCTCCACATTATCTCCGGCGCCGGCCGTTTTCTCCTCCCGTCAGACACGTTCTCATCTCGCAGACAGTGTTCTCTTCGCTCTCTCGCACCAGTGCTTTCACAATTTTCCTTTTGCTGCTGTTGTGGCCGGCCGAAGTCCGATGACTGTGAGGTGGTCGAGAAATTCCAGGTAGCGTCTCGATTCAGACCGCCTCCGCCAGGCTTGACCCAGCGGCCAACATCACGAACCGACAGCCGCTTACGTAGTCAGTTGCGATGGGATTTGGACAATTTAATTATCAACTATGGGACCCATGCCAACTAACATCACCCCACATCCAATGATATAATGCCACGTAGCCATTATACGTCACACATCTAACACACTCTTATTTCTCACATACTGACACACACACACAACATTAAACACACACATTTACACACACACACACATACACCCACGTGACACATACACACACAACACACACATACTGCCGGCGAGAAACACACACACACACACAGCCGACGGCGTTCACCTGCACACACTATTGGCCCTTATATTTACTGCCATCTCCGCCGCGCCATTGTTGTGCCGCTCGGAGGAGGAGATTCGCAGTAAATGCGGCGACGGCTAAGGCACGACGCGACAATGGTGCGACAAATATGGCGATGAATATGAGGGCCAATAGTGTGTGCGTGTGACCGACGACGGCTGCACAATGTGTGTATGTGTATGTGTGTGTGTGTGTTTTCATCGGCGGTATGTGTGTGTGTTGTGTGTGTATGCCACGTGGGGTGTGTGTGTGCTATGTGTGTAAATGTATGTGTCACGTGTGTGTGTTTAATGTTGTGTGTGTGTCAGTGTGTGAGAGATAAGAGTGTGTTATATGTATGACGTATAATGACCACATGACATTATATCATTGGATGTGGGGTGATGTTAGTTGGCATGGGTCTCATAGTTGATAATTAAAATGTCCAAAATACTCTTAATGTATAAATAAATACTGGAATTTTGGTATCTGTTAGATCTTTCATTCGATGGTTGTGATGTATTCTTATTGTGATATATATATATATATATATATATATATATATATGTGTATATATATATGTATATATATATATAGTATGTAACGCCTCGAATATTTTTGGTATTTATGGAGCTCGATTTTATTTTTATAAATAGCAAGTTTTTTTATTTTTTGTATTTATTTATTATTATGTGCATTAAATTGATTTATAGATTTTTAGTCTAGGCCATGGAGAATTTATTCGATTTTTAAAATTTAAAAATCAAATTTATTTTGCCCAAATATCGGTTTTATTTTTAAGATTAAGCTGAGCTTTGGAAAAATCAAAATTTTATTTAAGTCGGGTTGAGCCCGGATGAGCTGAGCCTTGACCAATCATTTTTTGGACGAGCCATTTTATGTCAGCCCAAATAGGCCCATTTAATCGAGTCGTCAATATATATTTGAGCCATTTTCATTCTTAATGAATAAATAATTTTTTGGGCAGAAGAGAGAAAAGAGACGGAGATATAAGAGAGAAAATATATATCTATATCTATATATATTGAAAGAGGTTGTTGGAATACTCTGAAACTTTGACTTTTTTTTAACTAAATTAGTTGACTTACAATTAAAGGAAATATAGTAAAGATTAATTTATTTTTTTTTTTTGAAAAAAATATAAATAATCAAATCATATCTACCTATTGCAAATCGTGCAATTTAGTTAATAACATGACTTTCAATATAAATAAAGTGGTATTGAATTTGAATTTATTTTGTGATAATTATCACAATAAAAATATGATTCTTTATATTAATTAATTATCACTTGCAGTTTCTTATTCTTGTGGTAAGCAAACCATATACCTTGACATGTCTTCGAAAAAACAAGTATTAAATAGGTTTTATTTGTGGAACATATTATCTTAATATACATGATAAAATTGCAATAATAACAAATTAAAATAAAAATTAATTATTTTAAACTAACATGAAAATTATTTAAAAAAGAGACTATTAAACAGTGTTCTAAAATTCGCTAGGCGCTCGACCAGCGCCTAGCGCCTAAAGCGCCTAGGTGGGGCCTAGGCAGCGCCTAGAAATCAATATTAAATACCTTATTTTTTATTAATTTAACTTCTTACAAAATAAAACTATCTCAACTTATAATAAATCAACACACGTAAGTCCAAATAATAATACTAATATATTTTAAAGAAAACATGAGAACAAAATAATGTAATTAGTATTTAAAAAAAAAACTGAAAAATTGCCGCCGAGCCCGCTTAGGAATGCCTAGGTCCGCCTACGCCCGCCTAGGCGCCGCCTAACCGCCTGGCCGCTGAGCCCGCCAAGGCCGCCTAGGAGCGCCTATGGCCGCCTAGGCGCCACCTAGCTGCCTGACCGATTTTTTTGGCCGATTTGTGCAAATCGGAGGCGCCCGGGCACCGCCTAGGTCGAATTTTAGAACAATGCTTTTAAATAGGGTTTTTTTTTAGAAAATATAATTTGAATATACATGTTACAATTGTAAATATAATAACAAAAAAATTGAAAAATCAATTATGACACTCTCCAGAGAAAGACATGATCTCCTGCATGATCTCCAGTAAATACTTACACTCGAAAACATGAATGGAAAACATGAGTGGAGAGCTTTGTCACAACCAATCATGTCTCATTATACAAATCAATAAGATGATCAATGTTATGCAACAACATGACTCGTGTTACAATCTTTAAATACAACTTATGGTTCGTATTCCAGAGACTTGACTTTTCAAAAACTCGGGCATATGGAGACCAGAAAAAAAGT